CTTAATAAGTGAGTGGTACAGACAAAACATTTTTGTTGTAAAGACATCTGATGTTCACAAATTCAAATAACATTGTAGAGCACTATTTATAGGTGCCCATGAAGCCATGGAAATACATTTCATGACATTCTGTTAATACTCCTGATCCTGGAGCAGGATATGTGAATTTACAAATGTTGCATTAGAGAGAAAGAATTTGAGAAGAGTAGCTTGTTATATTTTATCTCCATGAAATACAATCCATACCAACACCACTATACAAACACAGGAGCAAAGCTCATCAAGTAAACCCCATTGCATGGCAGTTTAGCTAATTTATTAATAACAGTAATATTTAAATAGTACTTGTATAATGAAAACTGAATTTCTTATCCTGAAATCGTGACAGTTGTAGGATTTTGTGGATTTTAATTTTGGTTTGGGGGTTTTTTGTTTGTTTTTCTTTTTTTTTTTTTATTTTCTTGCAGGGGGAACCAATAGTTGGTTTAGTAATGAATTTATTTGGTTTTTAACTGTACAGCTATAAAATTACTTTTAGCGTCGAAGTAGTGATATAAAAGTTTGTTGCTTTTCTTGTGCAGAAATCAGCAATACAATACAATCCTACCAATAGTATAGTGGCTGTGTATATGAGTGTAGTTCAAAAGTGCTCTCCAGCTAGGCACTGCTTCTCCTTTTCTGGTTAGATTTTATCAATGCATTTTTTTGTACAGGTACCTGAGAAGGCTTGAGAAATATTTCTTTATTTAAAAAAAAAAGAATACTAAAGAACTGCAACACTTGGTTTTAAATATCTACTGCAAAGAAGCTAGGAGCTTATAAGTCCAAAGTAATGTACACTTCAAATCATATTTTTGCTCAGTAAATAGATATTACAAAATACTTATTAACTGAAGAACTAATGCTACTTCACCCGTTAAAGATAGGATGGAGCAGAGGAGCAACCAGAGAGTTCAGATGGAAGAATTTCTGTGTTCTGATTCTGCCTCTGCTTTCTTCTTTGGCTGTCAGCAAAACACTTAGCCTTTTTTTTCCCCCACTCCTCCTCCAGGCACCTTTAGTTGTTGCTTTGATGCAATATTTACTTACCTGTCAGTGACAAAATGAATTGATTATTTTTAAAGTTCATATATGAGATCTTTTCCAATAAAATATTTCTAGTTTCCTAGGGTTGTGGGTTTTTCTTTCAATTTGTACTTCTGTTTTATTTTGTCTAGCTTTATGGGGAAAGTGTCTTTGTATCACACTGCCTGTCAAATAAACATTTGTTTCTGGTGTGCTATAAACCTAGATCTGGTTTTGGAAACACATTTAAACTTATTGACACAAAATATTCCCGTAAATTAAAGTTAAACATAGGTACCATACCTAGGAATCTGTCCAAATCTAGGAAGAGTTGTGTGGAAAGGAGTGACTAGCAGCAATATACCCTAGTAATCAGGGACACCAAAGCTGTCATGCTTCCTGCCACAGAATTGAGACTGTAACAAACGTGGGAGTGCTGTGAAAGCCGGCTCTAGTTAGGACTCCTGAGATGGGTGTGCTTGGTAGGCTGAGAAAATTCTCAGGATGTACCATTATGGAATTATTTCTTTATTAGGCAAGAGAAACCAGTGATTTATTTCAGATTTTCTTACCTCTGCAGAAATTTTTGCTTTTCATTCTGAATGGGAATTCTGATTTTCAGCCAGCTCTAACATCCGACCTTTAATGGAGGATGTGTTGCAAGTACTTTAGAAGGTACGCCGTTTGTCCCAGCAGTGGATGGTCTGTAGAATATTTCTGTGATTGTTCTTGGTTAGGGGCTTTAGTTATGATAAACTTCTGAAGTTTTTTGAAAATACTTTCGTAACAAGTAAAAAGCTAATACTGATATATTAATTTGTACTCTCTGAGGTTTCTAACTAAAATGATTAAAAGCTTTTAAAGCTTTTTCTTCCCATTCATCTACTAATCCATTTCTATTCAATGACTCTGTATTACTTTGAAATTCTTCCTTATTTAAACACGGTAGTACTAATCACAGCTGACATCTCACACTTGCACACATGTGTATAGTTTAATGATTTAACTCTTCTGGTAAAGTATTCCAAAGAAACCATGCTGGTGCTTAAGCTGTATAGGTCAATAGATAATACTTCAGTGTTTCTTTCCTCAAAGTAGTTTGTGAACATTACTTATCTCTTTCCAGTACTCGCTGAGTATTCCTGATCTAGAATTTGGAAAAATTATGACAGATCAAAGGAATAATTGCTCCAAAATTTCTTTTAAACTTCACTTGGTACAGATTAGAATTTTAATTTTGTCTTAGAGAATTAGATAAAAAGCTCCACCTAATAAACCTTTTGGAATAAAGACTTTGCTTTTAAGCTTGTCTGGAAAGCATGTTATCACTATTTGTGAGTAAAACAATGCCCTCTGCTAGCGGCTGTAACCTAGAATAAGTAATACTTTAGGTGCCATCTGCTGAATAATGAATACTTGTGCCTTTTACTACAAAGGAACAGTTTTATGTAGAATGTGGTTGATAGATCTTAAAATTATTTGTGACTACACACACTATGCTTATAAAGCAAATTATTAGGCTTTGTCAGTTGTTAAAGGTAATTTCCTATCAAACAAGGATAACATTTGAGCTTCATAGTGAACAAGCTACTATGGACTTGGAGAAGACTGAGGTACTCAATGACTTTTTTGCCTCAGTCTTCACCAGCAAGCGCTCAAGCCACACCGCTCAAGTCGCAGAAGGCAAAGTCAGGGACTGGGAGAATGAAGAACCGCCCACTGTAGGAGAAGATCAGGTTCGAGACCATCTAAGGAACCTGAAGGTGCACAAGTCCATGGGACCTGATGAGATCCATCCGCAGGTCCTGAGGGAACTGGCGGATGAAGTTGCTAAGCCACTATCCATCATATTTGAGAAGTCCTGGCAGTCCAGTGAAGTTCCCACTGACTGGAAAAGGGGAAACATAACCCCCATTTTTAAAAAGGGAAAGAAGGACTACAGACCAGCCAATCTCACCTCTGTGCCCAGCAAGGTCATGGAGCACATCCTCCTGGAAACTATGCTAAGGCATATGGAAAATAAGGAGGTGACTGGTGACAGCCAACATGGCTTCACTAAGGGCGAATCGTGCCTGACAAATTTGGTGGCCTTCTATCATGGGGTTACAGTGTTGGTGGATAAGGGAAGAGCAACTGACGTCATCTACTTGGACTTGTGCAAAGTATTTGACACTGTCCCACATGACATCCTTGTCTCTAAATTGGAGAGACAGGGATTTGATGGATGGACCACTCAGTGGATAAG